TATGAACTGAGGAGCGACATAAATAAAAATAAATCGAAACAATCATTGCTAAGTGTTGCTAAGTGGGCAGTGATATGGGTCAACCGCCATCGCTTGGAGTACTCGACCCATCACACACACACACACACACACATACCTGTCTCTTATACACATCTAGATGTGTATAAGAGACAGGTCTTGCCGTGGGTTGTGACCCACGAGCCGTTGCCCCTTACTTCAAATAGTAAATTCTGGGGCTGCTCAAACACAGACTGTACACGCTGCATGTGGGCCGAGGCCCCCGGTGTTTGTGTGTTTTGTTTTTTTTTTCGTTTTTTTAATTTTTAATTTTTTTTTAATTTTTTATTAGTGTTTTGCAAGTGCTGTCTCTCCACTGGCCCACATTCTAAATGCATCAGGGCCTTGTATACGTCCCTATGCATCCAACTTTGAAACAGTCTAAATGTATGCAAAAAAGTCATGAAACCTCCGCGTGAAGAAACTGTTGTATCCATTTTTGGGCTTCATTTTTCCACCCTGCAAAACAATTTACCGCCACTTTTACTCAGCGGCCGTTATTTGCACCGTGCAAAACACTTTCCCGCCACTTTTACACAGCGGCCGTTATTTGCACCCTCCAAAACACTTTCCCACCACTTTTACACAGCGGCCGTTGATCTTTGTTATCTACGGTCAGTATCTCTTAATTCGTGCAGGTGGGACCTAGCCCCTGCCATCCCCAACGTGACCCCAACATGACACCCCAACCAATCACAGAACAGTAGGCTGCTGGCTCCCCTTCCAAAAGGGCGGGTTGTGTAGTCCTACCGTCCGTTTGTCAGATGATTGTCAGATGATCAACGGTTCGCAGCGATCCCACAGTCGCACAGGTAGGAGAAAGCTATACTACACCGCTGCATGTGGGCCGAGGCCACAGAAGTGATTCTGGGACCTGCCGCACTTTTTTTTCTTGTTTGGGGGAAATGGATAGAAGGGTTTTGTCGCGGGGAGGTTTTATGACTTTTCCCTAAATGTATCCGGGGCTGTAACTGGACTGGATATATTCAGACTGTTCCGAAATCTCGTTTGTATCAGGAGACTTGCAAAACACACACACAAAGATAGAGAGAAAGAAAGAAAGAAAGATAGAAAGGGAGAATGGGAGGGAGGGAGAGGAGTGGAGGGAGT